TGGAGAAAAGCAGCCGGCCAGGCCCGGGCGCCGCAGGCTTCCTCCGGCTGAGCGTCGGTTTCTCCGGCGGCGGCGCTCGCAGCCTCCGCTGACGGTCCGCGCCAGAAAGCGTCCCCCTCCCCGGCCCGAGCGCCCGGCCTCCCGGACGGGAACACGCGCCGCCGACAGGAAAGTTCCGCTGAGAACCTAGCGGAGGCCCCTCTTTTCCCGCGCGGGGTGGACCGCGATTCCTCACTGAACTGAGCCGTCTTTGGTATAGAGAACTGTTTCAAGAGTGAACGAAAAATGGAAATTTCAGGTTAGAAACTTGGGAATGGTTTTAGTGGTGGGTCTGACGGAATGGGTTTGCACCCCGCTAGCCATCAGAAGAGGAACGCTGGCTAGTTGATGCTTCATTTGTGATCCTCGGTTCGTTCTCATTCCTCACTTGGGGATAACTTCGGTGGCTTGTTAAGATTGAATGAGATGATGTAAATGTCTGGAGCAGAGATATGGGGCTCAACATTGGGGATCGGTAATTGCTGATGCTGCCAATGATGATTGCTACTACTACTATCGCCTCCTAGAGAGGTTGTGCGCAGCCCTGAAGGACCCCTGAAATTGATAAGCACCATGTAACCTTCGGTTTTCTTTCTTCCACCACAACCTCCTGCCCGTTTCCTGTGGACTGAAGCCTGAAAAGAAGCAAGGACAAGAAAGGGCTTTCTTGATCACTGACACTCGGGGAGGTTAAGGATGCAGGTTCTCCTCCCTCAAGTTGGGAATTACTGCCATGTGGGCCCCAGGTAAGAAAAAGAGATTGTGTCAGCTCTCTCCACTACAGCCCCAGGTTCCCTTCTTCTTCCTCTCCTTCCTCATCCCTCTCCTCCCAAGAAATGAACACTGATAAGACGATGAAAATTTCTAAAAGTGGATTTTGTTCCCCTCATAAAATCAAGATTAAAAAATCCTTTCTCCTTCCCATTTCCTTTTTCGTTTGGGCCTTCACACCTCTAGAGATCAGTTACTTTTGGAGCAAATTAGGTTATAAAAACACAAGTGTGTATTCCCAAACTATTGATGGCAATTTAGATCTGCAGAAAGTGCTCCAAAAGTATCATAGCTTTCACATGTCCTCAAGTTTTCCATTCCCACTTAGCCCCTTGGCTTCTGAGATTTAGGAAATTCTCCCTTGATACCCTTCTCCCTTGTCGGAAGAGACTTTCCAGAAAGGGTCTGATATCAGTCACTTGAACCTAAATTAATTTTTGTTGCTGTATCACACATGGATTTCCATTTAGATTACCTTCTGGAAGTAAGGAAAAGGCTCTGCTGGCTAAAGGCATTTTTGTAACCATCTGGAAACAGCAGGCTCATAGGTTAGAAAGCAGCATGCTCAAAACATCTTGAGGCTCTATTCCCTCAAGTAAGGGATTTCATCCTATGATCTAAAGGGACAAAGATGCTCCCAAAGCTGATTCACTTTTCTCAGAATCCCAAGATCAGACCAGCACTCTGATCCCTCCCAGCTCCAGGCCTTGCATTTTCCCCAATTGGCCTCTTAGCTTGGACCACCTATGTGACACATAAAGCAGATTTCAACACTCAAATGTTGAAGTGAGTTCAAGTGAGAGCCCTAAAGATGACCAAAGGGTGGAAAAAGAGACCAGTAGAGCTGGGCAGAAACTTGAGAGTCTTACTGTTTATTCCTCTCCACTCTCCAAAAAGACCCCATACACAACCATCAAAGACACCGACACTTACCTTCCTCCTCTGTCAATGAGCTTGGAGCAACAAGGGCCAGGGATGGCTCCCCTGGTGATGGAAGTGCCTTCCATTCCCTCCTCCCAAGATGCCATTCCCCTTCTGTGACATTACTGCTTCCTTGCCCTCCAGGAGCTTCTCTGACAACTTGGATGATGTTACGCCCTCATCATCGCCTTTGGAGATAACGCTACCCCCAATTCACTTGTAAGGAAATGGGTTCTCTTGGGGTGGGGGGCGGTATTCCCTAGAGTGACACACACAGAGCTGCCTATTGATGGCTCTGCCTTCCAGTTAGGTTTAAAAATCTAAGGTCTTCCTGTTGGGATTAGATGAGACTCACCAGCAACTTGTTAATCAGAAACTAGAACTAGGTCTTCTTCATCACTGTGAACTCACACCTGGGAAAACACCCACTTCCTTTCACCTGTTTCATCTACTCCTTACTCCATGAAAGCCATCTCAGTCCTTTTTCCACCAGCCACACTTCCAAGCCATCTCCTTTTCTGGATGCCAAAGCCATGATCACTGTGAAACAGGTTCCAAGGTGACAGAGTTGTTTTTCTTCAACAAACATTCTTGGAATGTTTTTAAACTTTCTGCTTGTACACAACTTCTTTTCTATTGGATTATAATCTCTGGGAGGCTTTTAAAAGTCCACACCAATGTTTAAGGAAGGACTGGCAAAATTGCTACACCATAAAATTCTCCATTCAGGAATTACATACTGGGTACCTACCTTGCACCAGGCACTGTGCTGGATGCTGGGGGATATTAATAAGACATGCGAGCATAAATGTAAGCATTTTAGAGGTATTGGTGCATTTAATCTTCACATTGACATTGTGAGGTATGTACAAGTACTATCCCACTTTAAAGATGGAAAAATTGAAGCTGGGATGTAAGTAGGGGGTGGGGTTTGAGCATAGAATACTCTTAAAACCATGCACTGAAGTGAATCAAAATTTATATTCAAAGTTGAGCTTGAACGATTCTGGTCTGTAAAGTGTAATTAATAAAAACCTGTCCCATGTGGATGTTCAGATATTTGTTGTCCTCACACTGTATTTCAGATGTTAATCTAGCACTGAACAAGAGATACAGGTCTCTGCCCTAAAGTCGCTTACTTTCTAAACTGGGGAGACAAATAATATAAGATAATTTCAAATTCTAATAAGTGCTGAAAAGAACATAAACCAGAGACCTATATAGGAGAGAGGCTGTCAAGAGAGGGAGGCATTGGGTAAGACCACCCTGATGAGGTGACCTTTGAGCTGAAATCTGAATGCCAAGAGGAGCATGTGAAAACTCAGGGAAGGAGAAATCTAGGCAAAAGGACCAGAGCTCAGGAGTGGCATGGGGTGGAGTAAGAACCCCCAAATGACTGCCTGGAGAGTGGAAAAGTACTTGTAGTTTTGCTCCCAGATTGCATGGTCCTGAAGGAATCACTACTTTCAGGGCTGATCCTGGGAGGATGAGAAAGATACAGCCATCAACTCCTAGGGAAGCAGCCCAGATTACTGTCGTACCTCATAAATGACCATGTATATTTGCCAAGTCAATAGACAGATGCCGTAGAAACAGTTGCTTTAAAAAAAGTCCTACAGAAAATAATTCCATTGTCTCCAAGATGGAGTTCCATCAGCTTCCTCAAAGAAGCCCTCCATGACCACCTACCCAATTTAAGCAGCTGCCCAGTCATCATGATATCACCCTATTTTCTCTACCCACAGAGAACTTAATGCTATCCAATATTTTTCTTTATCTTTTAGCACCTCTCTCCCTTTATAAGATTGCGAGGCCAAGGCAAAAGGATCTTGTCAGTCTTATCAGGATCACCAAGACTGAGGACAGCCACAGAAGAGTTCAATAAATATGCTTAACAAACAAAAATATGTGTTGTGCCCATCCTTGAAGCAGGCCTGTGAGGCACTGGGAATGAAAGGGGAGGGGTGGGGATCCCTTGGAGCTTTTGGCAAACCAGGTGAATCTCATATGATTGTGATAATTCAGAGTGAGGTCATTTCTCCAAGGATGGTACAAATCACGGGTCATGCGAAAATGGAAAGGGAGATCTCCCATGCACAAGGTGAAAGTGTAGTGCAATGGAAGAAGACTTGCTAAAAAAGGGTCTTTAAGGATGAGGAGGATAGCAGAACAGCATGGGAAAGGGCATGGAAATAGGAAAGACAAGACAGAGGTAGTACTAACGACTTCAGGGTTTAGCTGTGCAGGCTGGGATGGTCAGGGTCATTCCCGGCTTCTCAGTGTAACTCCTGACAGCTCAGTCAGTGGCCACTCCCTGATCACTTTAGAGCCAAAGTTTTGGTGACTCAGGTTCCATTTAACCAACCCTGTTGGGCTCGGTGGGAAATGTGAGGGGCCCTGGGCCATGGCTCCAAGGCCATGAGAATCTGCCCACCCTCACCACATGTGGATACTCCCAGAGGCAGGGTTAGATTTCATGATTAAAAAAAAATATTCAGCAAACTGGGAAAGAAAGAAACTTCCTTAACATTATAAAGTGTATTTACAAAAAATCCACAGCTAAAACTGTACTCAATGGTGAAATGCTGAAAGCTTTGAAAGCTTTCTACTTAAGACCAGGAACAAGATAAGGATGTCTGCTTCCTCCACTGCTATTTACCATTGCACTGGAAGGTCTAGCCAGAGCAATTAGGCAAGAAAAAGATAAAGGCCATCAAAATCAGCCTTTTGATAGCTAAAAAAAAAGTTTAAACACTCAACAAACTAGGAGTAGAAGGAGACTACCTCAACACAATAAAGGCCATATATGAAAAGCATAGCTAATATCATATTCAATGGTGAAATGTGAAACTTTTTTATATAAGATCAGGAATAAGACAAGGGTGCCCACATTCATCACTTCTATTCAACACAGTACTGGAAGTCCTAGCTAGAGCAGTTAGGCAAGAAACAGAAATAAGACATCAAAATTGAAAAAAAAGTAAAATGATTTCTGTTCACAGATGACATGATCATATATGCAGAAAACTCTAAAGATACCACATCAAAAAAAACCCTAATAAATGAAGTCAACAAAGTTGCAGGACACAAAATCCACACAAAAATCAGTTATGTATTCATACACTAATACTGAACAATATGAAAAGGAAATTAAGAAAACAATTCCATTTACATGAGCATCAAAAGGAATAAAATACTTGGTAACAAACTTAACCAGAGAGAAAAGACTAGTACATACACAAAAAACTATAAAATGTTGCTAACAGAAATTTAAGAAGATACAAATAAATAGAAAGACATTCTGTGTGCATGGATTGTTAAAATATTAGTGCTGCCCAAAAGCAATATACAAATTTGATACAATCCCTATCAAATCCCAACATTTTTGCAGAAATAGAAAAATTCATCATAAAGTTCATATGGAGTCTCAAAATAGCCAAAACCATCTTGAAAAAAAAAGTGAAGCTGGAAGACTCACACTTCCTGATTTCAAAACTTAATACAAAGCGGTAGTCATCAAAACAGTATGGTATGGGTATAAAGACTGTCATGGAATAGAATAGCAAGCCCAGAAATAAACCCTTACATGCATAGTCAAATGATTTTTGATAAGGATGTCAAGATCATCCAGTGGGGAAAGGACAGTCTTTTCAACAAATCGTGCTGGAAAAATTGGATATCCACACACAAAAGAATGAAATTAGACCCTTACCTTATACCATATACAAAAATGAACTCAAAGTGGATTAAAGACCTAACGTAAAAATCTAAAACTATGAAACTCTTAGAAGAAAACATAGGGGAAAAGCTTCCGAACATTGGATTTGGCAATGATTTCTGAGATAAAAAAAAAAAACCACAGAAAATTACAAGTGTTAGTGAGGATACAGGGAAATTAGAACCCTTGTGTTTTGCTGATGGAAATGTAATATGGTGAAGCCACAGTGGAAAACTGATGATGACAAGACCCAGCAATTTCATTTTAACGTATATATATACCTAAAAGAATCAAAACCAAGGACTCAAACAGATACTGATACATTGTAGCATTATTCACAACAGCCAAAGTGGAAGAAACCCAAATATTCATCAACAGATGAATAAAAAAACAAAATGTGGTATATCCATACAATGAAATGGTATTTATTCATAAAAAAGAATGAAACACACACATATATATATATACTATAACATGTACTAACACAGTGAAAACAATATGCTAAGTGAAAGGAACCAGACATAAAAGGTCACACATTGTATGATTCTATTTATATGAAATATGCAAAAAAGGCAAATCCATAGAGACAGAAAGCAAGTTGGTAGTTGCCATGGGCTGAAGGAGGGGAAGGGAAGACAATGGAGAATAACTGCTTAATAGGTATGAGGTTTCATTTTCAAGTGATGAAAATTGGAATTAGATAGAAGTGAATGTCATAAATGCCACCGAGTTGTACACTGAAAATGGTTAATTTTCTGTTATATGAATTTTACCTCAACTTAAAAGAAAGAAAATGAAGGAAGAGTTGAGTTACATGAGTTCTCATGGCTGGTAACTGGTAGAGTCAGAATTTAAACCCAGATCTACATTCAAATACATATTTATATATGTATGGTACACAGTGAGAAGACAAAGCATTTACTAATCCAGAGGCAAATGATTGTTATGTTGGTGCTTTTCTGAGAGCAGGTTTCAATAAGGGAGGAGGGATGATGCCTCCCACATGGCAGGTGATCAATACATGTTTTCCTGAGTAGAGGAGGAAGAATAAGATTTATACATCCTGAGGTCTGGAGAGAACTTGGAGTATCTGGGAAGGGTTGACACTCCCTCCATGCAGTGTAGGGTTCTTCCTCAGGGATGCTGTGGGGGCAACTGCTTTCACAGGCAGTGTGACCTTGGGGAAATCACTTAACCTCCCTGAGATAGGCTCTTCATCTGTAAAATGTGAAAAACTGTGTGCAATGGTAAGCAAGAAATGGGGAGACGGCTATAAACACTCTTTGAAAGTACTAAGTCTATGTGCAGGTTTATTTAGTTCACAGAAAATTTGGCTAACATCTTTGCTGTTTTAAGTCAATTCCATGATCTTCTCCTAGAGAAGATGATAAGCTCTTACTATGTAAGATTGGCTGGGATTCCCCAGACTTACCAGCACTTTTGCAATTATCTTGGTTATAGCATCTACCTCATTCTTACTGGAACTGTGTCTGACTCTTCCAGCTAGGACCACATTGGCTCCTCTCAGTAGCCTCAAAGTCCAGTACAGGACTGGGTTCCATGAACACATACTGAATAGAATATTAAAGTTGTCCACAGCCCCCATTTTCCACGAGGGGATTCAGTTTCATTAAAAAAAAAAAGAACCCTGGGGTTTTGTTATACAAAGATGAAAAGCACGCAGCCCCTGAGGCTCCTGAGGGATACAGGCACACAAACACAATTATAATACAGTCTTAACTCCTGTGAGAACCAACAATCGGCAGGGCTTCAGAGGAAGAAACATTTGGTTCAGACACTCCAGTAGTTAAATCCTCCCTTCAGCTACTCCTCAATCATTTCCAGGCCTTACCTACTCCCATAGCATCACTCGATGTGTTGTTAATCTTTGGGTGCTCAGTAATGTGTGGTTGGACCAATTCAGGTCAGAGGGCCACCATTCCTTCTTGCTAAACCTCTACTCCCAGTTAGTAAACTTACTGTGCTTTAATACCTGGCCCAAATGTCATTTCTTCTGCAATGCCTCTATGAACCTAAAGACCAGTTCTTTTTCTGTGCTTTCTTGGCACTTCGGTCCACAAATACTTATTGGGCATATTCTGTTTCAACCCTGTAGACAGAGTTATCCAATTTGGCCTCTGTACTAAGAGCTTGTGTCAACTGAGGGAGGCAGAGCAACTAAAGGCAGTTACACCACTACAAGAGGGAAACACAGGGTAAATACCTTAAGGGTTGCAGGAGACACTTTTGGGGTCTACTAAGTCCATACTCCCCTTTACAAAACTGCACACCCACTCAGGAGTAAAGCCTATAGAATATGTTTGTGCTATGGGTCAGTTCCCTAGCAGTAGCTGATTGGCCCAGGGAGAATACCTAATTACAGATGGGCCAACTGGATTTTATAGCCCTAAAATTTGGAGTCAAGTTCGAAGATGCAGAGAGCTATGAAATAAGTCAGAGGCTACTGGGCTGAGAGTCCCAGATGAGGAAGGGAAGAAAGTACCAGGGTCCCTGCCTGTGGAGTCCAAAAATTACCCCCACTTTGCGCTTTATAATCAGGCCTTTGTTTTGCTTAAAGGAGCTTCAGCGGCTTTGGATATCATCAAAACAGCCCTAGTTCAGACAGATTGGCTAGGCAGGCTCCCAACTCATATTGGGGTGAAAGGAAGGAGAGAATAGGCAAGCCAGGTTTGGGAGCAGGAGTGGGAGTTGGGTGAAGGGTGGACAAGAAAATTCTGAGTATAGGTAAAGGTCAAGAGGCCAAGAACTGCATGAGTAAGTTACAAAGAAGCAGGGCTGGGAGCTTTTAGAAATGCAGACATTAGGGCCCAACCCAACCTACCACAATAGAGCTCAAGAGGCTCTTTCCAATGCGGCGCCTGCTGAGTTGTCAGGGCTGGTCCTTCTCCTTTTCTTTTGTCTTGTTCTTTACCCACTTTAATCTTTCAGGGACCACTGGAATTTTAAGCCCTTCAGCACCAAAATTTCTAAATGGAGATCTCTGGATTTCAGGATCAGGTCAAGACCTGAATATGTCTGCAGACTTTGATATGTATGGACAGTTTCTTGGGGAGAGGACTCATAGCAAGGTAAGGACCTAGAAGATAAACAAAACAGAGAACAGAAGAACAGAGAAAATTAATGAAACCAAAAGTTGATTCTTTGAAAGATCAATAAAATTGACAACCCTTTAGCTAGTCTTACCATGGGAAAAAAAGATTCTAATAACCAAAATCAGAAAATGAAAGTGGGAATATTACTACTGATTCTACACAAATAAAAAGGACTATAAGAGATTACTATGAATAATTGTATATGAACCATTTGGATAACCTAAATGAAGTGGATAACTTCCTAGAAACACAAAACCTGCCAAGACTAAATCATGAATATAAAATCTTAATAGACCTATAACTAGTAAGAAGATTGAATCAGCCATCAAAAATCTCCAACAAAGAAAGGCCCTGGACCTGACAGCTTCTCGGGTGATTACTACCAAACATTTAAAGAACTAATACCAAGACTTTCTAAACTTTTCAAAAAAAAAAAAATTGAAGAGGGGAGAACACCTGCTAACTCATTCTGTGAGGTCAGGATTACCCTAATACCAAAGTTAGATGAAGATACTACAAGAAAAGAAAACTACATACCACTATCCCTTATGAACACTGATGTAAAAATCCTCAACAAAATACTAGCAAACTGAATTTAGTAGCATATTAAGAGGATTATATGCCACAATCAAGTGCAATTTACTCCTGGAATGTAAGGATGTTTATCACATGAAAATCAATCAATGTAATAACATCATGTTAATAGAATGAAGGGGGAAAAAAACACTTGGTCCTCTCAATTGAGGCAGAAAAGGCATTTGACAAAATTCAACACTTTTTCATGATAAAAATGCTCAACAAGCTAGGAACAGAAGGAAACTACTTTAACATAATAAAAGCCATAAATGAAAAACCCACAGCAAAATTCATACTTAATGGTGAAAGTCTGAAAGCTATTCTCTAACATGAGGAACAGGGTAAGGATGCCTGCTTTGCCACTTCAGTACTGGAATTTCTAACCAGAGCAATTAGGCAAGAAAAAGAAATTAAAGATATTCAAATAGGAAAGAAGTAAAATAATCACTGTTCACAGATAATAGGACCTTATATGTAGAAAATACTAAAGTTTCCACATCAAAAAAGCTGTCAGAACTAATAAATGAATTCAGCAAAGCAGGTGGATACAAACTCAATACACCACTGTGTAACTGTGTATGTCTATACATTCATAATGAAGTAAACAGAATAACAAAGGTTGCCAAGGATGTGGAGAAATTGGAACCATTGTGCACTGTTGGTGGGACTGTAAAATGTTAACTACTGCTATGGAAAACAGTATGGCAGTTGCTCAAAATATTAAGAATGGAATTATCATATGATTTAGCAATTCCACTGCTGAGTAAGTACTCCAAAGAACTGAAAGTAGATTATTTGTACCCCCATGTTCATAGCAACATCATTCACAATAGCTAAAATGTGGGAGCAACCCAAGTGTCCATCAACTGATAAATGGATAAACAAAATATGGTATATACATATGATGGAATATTATTCAACTTTACAGAGGAAGGAAATTCTGACATATGCTATAGCATAATTGAACCTTGAGGACATTATGCTAAGTCAAAGCCAGTCACAGTAAGACAAATAATGTGTGATTCCACTTACATGAGGTATCTAAAGCCATCAAATGCACAGAACAGAAAGTAGGATGGTGGCTGCCAGGAGTTAAGGGGAGTGGAGAATTGGGAGTTATTGTTTAATGGCTATGGAGTTTCAGTTTCACAAGATGAAAAGACTTATGGAGATGGATGGTGGAGATGGTTACACTCTATGAATATATTTAATACCACATACACAACACATTGAAGGTCTGGACCTCCAGGATAGCTTCTCCTCCCCATGTCCCTCTTACTGGGAGGGAGGAGGTGGCAGGCAAGGGGGCTTACAAAGGGAGGCATGAGCTGCCTAAAATGAATGCAGCAGGCCAGGGGAGGGAGGATGGGGAATCAGGCTTCCTGCTCCAGCACCTCTGACCTCAGGCCCTAGAAGGTGGGTAGCTGGCTCATCCTTCCCCAGGACAGGTGTCCTAACACCTGGTAGAGGTCACTGGGCTGCTCCAGCCCCTCTGGGAAGATGTTGTCCTCCAAGGTGGCATCTTAATTCAGCTGCTGGTGATGGGGGTGTGTGTGGAGGATTGAGGGCCACAGACCAAGCAGTCCCTGGTGTGTTGGCTGAATGCTCACCTCCTGTGTCTTCTTTCCAAATGGAGGAGAGAACAGAAGCTCCAGACTTTGTGCTTAGAGCTGAGCAGCCTTGAACAAGTTAGTAACTTCTCAGAGCCAGAGCTTACTCATCTGTCAAAATGGAGCATAATGCCTTTCCATAGGACTGAGGAAGGAACATTTCAAAGGGCTGAGCATAGGACCTTGCACAAAGTAGGTGCTCAGGGCCTGTCAGGAGTCTTGACTGACTGCAGAACTTCAGCCCCAAAGGAGGTTAGTAACCCACCAGAGGCCTGGCTGTAGCAACACCAGTTAAACCATGTGACTGAGCTAGGGACAAAGCCTTTGATGCCTCAGCATCCTGAAATAAAGAGCGGGAAGGGCCTGTACTTGCCATCTCCCTCCCATGAGTGGCACCTGAGAGGGAAGCACAGGCCATAGATGGCTTTAGGATAAAACACAAAAGCCAACTGATATTGAGTAATGACTGGGGTTAGGCTAAGCCCTTTATGTCCCTTAGGTCATATAACCCTTGCAAACACCAGGGGAGGGTACTGTTCTCTGCGTTTGTCAGTTTTACTTTTGTTTGTTTATAAACAGACTATTTTTAGGGCAGTTTTAGGTTGACAGCGAAACTGAGCAGAAAGAAAATAGAGCTCCCCCAAAATCTTCTTCCCCAAAAGTCCCATAGTCCATATCACCCAAAGTCCACAGTTTACATCTGGTGCTTGTACCTTCTATGGGTTTTGACAAATGTATAATCACATGCAGAGTTTTACTTTTTAATACCAATTTTATTTTTTTAAATTTATTATTACTTTTTTTAATGGAAGTACTGGGAATTGAACCCAGGACCTTGCACATGCTAAGCATATGCTCTACCACTGAGCTATACCCCCACCCACCCCCAATTTTATTTTTATCAAAGTATTACATGGAGACTGGTGATGGTGTATGGCTTAGTGGAAGAGCACATGCTTAGCACACAAGAGGTCCTGGATTCAATCCCCAGTCCTGCCATTAAAAAAATAGTAAATAAATAAATAAACCTAATTACTACTCCCTCTAAGAAAATAAACAAACAAACAAAGTAGTACATGCTCAGCGGCTTCAAAGTCAAGAGTACAAAAATGGCTTATATGGAAAACCAGCTATGCCTCTTCCTTGCCCTCTCCGCCCTTTCTAACCCCAGGCCCAGGCCCCAGGACCAGGATGGCATCCTTATATATTCAAGGGGCCACACAGTTGGCACCAAGGTAATGAACCTTCTGCTCTGATCAGGAACATCAAAAGGCACAGGAGACAAACAGCCCATTAGGGTCAAGGGGCCAGATGGGCTGGAAAAACCCTCTGCCCCAAGAAGTCAACCAGGCATCTCAAACAAGACATTCTAAAGGTATTGTAAAATCCTTGCTTGTTTCTTTAGAAGCCCCAGTCATCATTTGCAGAATTTTGCTAGATGAGGGGAACTAAAGCCTCACATGGGAAGACCACTGTGATGCGAAGCTGCCTGGATGCAGGGAGATTCAGGCTCTGGTTGGCTGCGTGGCCTGCAAAAATTTCTCCCCTCTAGACCTTGAGATTTTCATGCAAAAAACCTACGGAGTTGGCCAGGTGATCACTAGGGCCCTGCCTGTGCTGACAGATTGAGTTTGTGCTGCTGCTGCTAACAGCCCCATCTCTAGAGCTCTTCCTGTGAACTGGGTGCTTCCTTGGAACCACCTCAAAGTAGGCAGTATTGCCCCATTTCACCGATGAGGATTGACACTCAGAAGGGCTGTTAGGGCCGTAAAGCAAGAGAGGGGCAGTGGAGATTCTAAACTGGAGTGGCATGCTCTTCTTCCCTGCGGCTGGGTCCTTGAGCCTTCTGGCCCGTTTTCCCCAAAATAGTGCTCTGGTGTATATGTGGCAGGTGGGTGAGTGTGTAGGTGGGTGGGTAAGAGGGGGTCCCATGGCTTCGAGTAACAGCGGGGCCCAGCTGACTCGGCCCCCAGGATTTCAAGCCTCTAGCCCTCACCTCAGGGTGAAGACCATTATGTATGCCTACATTCTGTTTAATGCTAATCTTTCCTCTTAGGCTGTGGGTTCTCTGCCCTGGGCTGTGAACTAGTCACCTGGGGAGCTTTGGAAAACAATGATGGCTGTACCCCATCTGCAGAGATACTGACTTGATTGGTCTGGAAAAGGGTCATGGCCCTGGTTGGTCATAAAAGCTCCACAGGTGATTCAGATGTGCTGGGCTGGGAACCTCATTGGATCCTGTCAGTTCCTGAAAAGCCTTGCTACTTCCTTCACCATGCGGGGTTCTAGGGAGTGTCTGCACTTCCTGGCCCTGCCTCTCCAGCTATAAAGGCAGAGCAACCTTTACTTTCAGCTACAGTGTAGTTGTTTTCTCTGTAACAAGGTTCACAGCACCACTACTCTCCTCTGCTGAATTTGTTCTCCTTGGAGTAGCCAAGGCCATGATGCTTCTTAAGGAAACTCTGGATGAAAAGTCTCTGAAATCCAGTCCTGCCCTGGCTTGTGGGATGAGGAGCCCATTCGCCCGAGTCTTCTCTGCTTTGCATCTTAGGGGAAAAGAAATGAGGAGGACAGGGTTTGTTCTGGGCGTTTTCTGGCTCCTAGGTGAGGCTACCAGCCCCACGAAATCAAAGACATCCCATATTCAAAAGAGGAAAAGGACAATTCCAGAGGCTACAAGGGTCTCAGAAGAGAGTCCAGCAAAACTGAATGTAACCTGAAGGAAGACAGTCTCCCGTTTCTTGCCTACTGAGCTCAGGTACAGAAAGGTGCTTGTTGTGCCCCTAACTTAGAAGGCCTATGTGGGCTTCGGGCCCCAGAGCCTTGGATGCTGATTTTAGAGCCTGCAAGAGAGAAACAAAGTTGGGAGCAGAGAGCCAGGTGAGAGGATGCACTAGAAGTTGTAAATAAGTTGTCAGAACCAGGAACTGGAAGTGGTGGGGGAAGGTACTCGGGGCAGAGCTCTGAGGTGGCTACTAAACATGCAGTTCCTTGGCCTGTTCTCATCCTCCATAAAGCCTGGGCTTTGAAGTCACAGATGCATGGCAGGCCAAATCTGGAAGGGCCTAGAAGCCATGTAGCATGTGGTTTTCAAACTGAGTTTCTTGGAACCCTAGGGGGTTCCTCAGGATTTGTAGGAATGCTGCCACACAGTGTCCTGCAACTCCCAACGTGGCTCCTTTATCTATTTAATGAGCAGGTGTACAAGGGGGAAAAAGATTTTGCAGTAAAATAATGCTAACAAAATTTGAAAACCATAGATTTAGTAAACTTATGAGAGATGGAAGGGGAAACTTGTCCAGAGTTCCCCTCTAGTCACTTATCCCTCAGGCCAGGCCTGTCCCCACAGCATGCATGGAGCAGAAAGCAGGAGGTTCTCTCCGGAGGCATGGCCTGAATGCAGCAACACACATGGCCAGGAGAGGACTCACATGAGGGACAGCCACTCTCAAAAGAATGAGTGACCCTAAGACCCAGACCTGCTGACCCAGACTTGCTGACCCTGACAGGCAGTGTGAGGCTGACTTGGCTCAACTGTCAAAAGCTCTCAAGATTCTAATCTCTTTTTACCTTCAGGGAAATGTAGGGCTTTGGCCTGGGAGGTGGGGCTCCTGGATTCCAGACTGACCACCATTTCCTGGGACATTAGCCTTCTCTTTAACAGAGGCAGCTGGGCACGGTCACTCAGTCCCTAGACTGTGGGCCCTTGAGGACAGGGCCTGTCATCTCCACTGTGGGCTGCATCCTCCTCAGTGCAAGGGACACAGGGCCACAGCCAGGCACAGGAATCCTTAACTTCACAATAGTGGCTGACTTTCCACATTTTATGTAGTGAAGCTTTCTCTTCCCTCCTGTTTCTCCCCTGGGTTGGCTCCTCTGGAGGTGAGAATCTCTACACTCTGGAGACAGTAAACTCTGGGCCATTTCTTCTGATATGCCTCCTCTTCTGAGCAGTCCAACAGGTAAATACGCCCCAAGGCCGTCAAGGCTGCTTATCAGTGCAGCAGGATTTGGCCACATATGCTTGTTCAAGAAGCATGTGGAATATTCGATCAGTAGATGATGATGAATGGATTGAGCTGAGGGGAAGAGCTGGTTCCTGCTTAGAGGTCTTAACCTCTCTTTGTCATGGGACACCCAGAACATCAGTGATCAGGACCTCTACAGTACTCATTTGGGGCAGAGCCCCCTTTTTCCCTCTCCCCCTGGGTCTCCAGAGACAGACCCATAGCCAAAGACCACAGACCCAGGCCCTACTTTTCTTACCTCCCTGACTAGGACCTGAGAAACCATCTTCTTCCCCAGGTCTCCAACAGAGCCCTTCACCCCCTACAACCTGAGTCCCTGCAGGCCCCTCTCCAGAGTCCAAAGGTCACTTCTGGAGCCTTCTGTCCCCCTCATACTAGTCATACTCACTAGTCCCTGGTTGTCCCAGCCCCTGGTCCTGTGGGGAGTCAGCCAGCTTTGTGACTTCACAAAAGGCTATCCTGTGACAAGTTTGGGCCTAGTGAAGCAGGAGTTGGGCCTAGAGGGGCTCCCCCCAGGAACATCATGTGACTTTTCATGGCAAGTCACCCCTACCTCTGAGGGAAAGAAGAGGAACTGCCTCATAGTAAGAGCCCAGGACACCCTCCACACTTAGAAACTCCTCCCATTGATGACTTCAGGCCCAGGCCTAGCTGGGTACTCCTGGCTATATCTGGCAATATCTCTTCAACGTCCAGGCCCATTGCAGCCATATTTGGGGGTGGGGCAGGAAGTGATTCATTTAGGTGCTGATGGTGGGTCTCTGACCTCTGAAATAGGGGTCAGACCAGCCTCCTCCCATTAAACAAGTCATTCCCCTTGAGGCCTTTCAAAGTGAAGGAACTGTTGGAGGGAGAAGCTTTATCTGATCTGAGTCCTCATCAGGGTCTGCTCCAGCATCCCAGAGTGCCATCAAATGGGTCAGGCCCCTGAATCCTGTCCTGTGGCCAGAAACAGTCATTATAAAAATTCAAGGGCTTCTCTCTCTAATGCTGGCACCACTGTTGTTTCTTCCTGGAAAGATTTATGATTCTAGGAACCTGAGGCAAAAGAGGCTGAGGGTGCTTTCCCCTTACCTTCTCTGCACCTGTTCTCCAACCTCAAACTCTTACCTGGAGCATAGCTTCTGGGAAAGTCAAGGCCCCAGGAGTCAGCAAGGAGGATAACTGGCAGCCAGGCTCTGGGATCTGACAGGTCCCAGGGGTATCTGGAGAGCAGAGTTCAGCCGTTTTCCTGCCACAGTCCCTCTCTGTGCTGGGCAGATTCATTGTAAGGGTGGCTCAGGGGATACCATTTCTGACCATCCCTTCTGGCTTCTACTTTGATTGTGACATCACCATCCTGCCAGAGGACCCCAGGGAAAGAGGTGAGTGTGCTCTGGGCAAGGGTTCCAGATGTAGGCTTCATCTCAGCAGGGAGGCAGAGCCGAGGGGCTGGTTTGGGGAAGGTGACATGTCTGGCTTCACATCCAAGGGGCTCCTTGGCCTTGACAGCCCTCACTCTTGATTGATGGTAGCCTTTGCAGGCCTGAGGAGACCTAAGAGCACATCCTCTTCAATCCACCCTCTGACCCACTCGGTTCTCAGTTCTTTGCTGGGACAGAGAGTGGACAGATGATCCCTAAGAGTGGTTACTCCACTACTTCCCAGGATGTCTGAAAATGTGCCCTAGGATTTTTCTCGTAAGGAGCTCGTTTCTCATTTTGATGAGGAAAGCTTGAGCTCTTCCAGCAGGCCGGAGTACGGGGGGAAAAGAGACATCAGCCAGGGCTGAGGCGGTCCTGAAGAATGGTAGCAGGGACAGCCACAGACCAAGAATATTCACCATAGGAATAGCCATCACTTAGCTAGTACCTCCCACGTGCCAGGCCGCAAGCGAAGCACTTACAAGCATGATGACATTTAGTCCTCGCGGCAGTGCTAGAAAGGAGGCATGTGATTCCCATTTTCTAGCTGGAGAAACAAGCTCAAGAGGTAAAGTAATTATTCCAGGGTCTCACAACTGGGAAATGGGAGCATCAGTGTTACGACGCAGATTTGTCTGCCTCCAAAGCTGAATTCAGTTGTTGACTTGTCTCTTTCTGCACACTCTTCCCAAGAAAGAGGAAAAGAAGCTATTTTCTCATCCTCAACCATCAGTGATAGGGTTAAAGAGAGAAGTGGAGGAGGGTGGAATTTGAGCCTGATATCACCCACATCATCAGCTTTTGGATAAGGGAGCCTTGACTGCTTGGCCTGTCTAATCTTTAACGAGACCCATTGGGAGGTAGCTGTTCTGATTTGCTTCTATTTTGCAGATGAACTAAGTGAGGCCCTGGGGGCTACTGAGGGGAGTCCTTGGGGTCTGTGGCTGAGCAGTGGTCCTCAGTGGTTGCCAGATAAAATATAGAATGTCCGGTTTAATTTTCATTTCAAATGAACAGTAATTTAAAAATATAAGTATGCCCTAAATATTGCATGGGACTCTTCTGGGGGCTCCTCATTCTGGCTGGGGCCCTGGTACATGGGAGTTGGGAAGGAGCTGGGGACGAAGTCATGCCTTCATTTCCCCTTTGGGTCTTAGGTCCCTCTCTGAAGTCGTGTCTGTGGGAGCACGAGGTTGGGACTGACTTCTGGAGACTGCAGCGTCTGTGGCCACTGGACTAGGTAGACCCTCAGTTCCTCTGTGAAATGAGAATGGTGGACATGGATGTAGTCATATAGGGTGGCTGCTTAGCACAACTCTTGGGTAATGGAGGTAGTATTCCATATTTCTACGGGGCTTGAGGGGCTCCCAGGAAGGAGGAGGGCAACAAGTGAATGATTAGAATTCCCTCTTTGTCCAGGCTGGGGTCCCCAGAGCCTAGCATCCTGGGGCCTCTCCTTGGTGGCTCCTGTGACCCCTGGACATTTGCAGTAGCAGTAGCCAACAGCATAGTGGGAACAGGACAGGAGAAGGCACAAGAGTTGTGTGGCACCAGGGTGGGGATGGGCTGATGGAAGCACTTGGGTCCGGTGAGCCTGGAAGTAAGTGATAGAGAAGGGGTGCAGAAAAGGGAAGAGGGGGATGATGGGGGAGACAGTAGAGAGGGGAGGAGCATCCTGAAGGCCAGAGGACTTGATGCTACTGATTTTCCTACCCGAGGGGTTGTGCATGCTTGGGGACGGGGACAGACTCGAGTAAGCCTAACTCTGTAGCCCTTGGTGCTGGGGCCAAAGAAGGGCTGCTCTTGCCTTTCTTCTGCCACAGGGCAGCTCTGCAGGCATGACTTCTTGCCCTTTTGGATGGTGGCTGCTTTTCTGAGGCGTATCACTTGGGGAGGTGGGCACAGGCAGAACAGCGGGAGACAGAGTCCAGAAATGTTCTTCCAAAGAGGCCAAGGACTCTCTCTCCAATGATTCAGGTGGATGTGCCAGACCAAGCTGGGTGTGTGGGCCTAACTTATCTGTGGCCTTCTGCTTGCATGTACTTAGTTGTGAAAGTGTTGACTGTGAGGACTGGTGCCAATGCATAGGTGTGCATGCTGTGTCTCTGGAATGCATGCCTGGCCTGTGAAATGTGTCAGTGAACAGGCATGAAATGTATGTGCAACCTGGAAAACCCGAGTGCAGTCTTTTCCTCTTCCCAGAGTGGGAGTCTTGGAGTGCCTGCAAGTGTGTGGCTGTGTGTGTACAGGGGGTGATGGCAGAAGTAGGGGGGCTGCAGGCATTATAAAACAGAGATTCTAGGGGGAGCAGTTGCTAGATAGGCCCTGCATAGCTCCTGCTCTGCTTCCCCAGTCTCCCAGGCCCTGGCTTCTCCAAAGGCCCTCCGGGATGCCCCTTATTCCCATCATTTACTCAGGGCCCCAGGCTGATTTTCTTAAGGAAAGCAGTGCTATCTGGTGGCAGGCTGAGGATATGCCAGGAGCAGGTGAGCTGGACCCTGGGTTCCCACAAGGGCTCTCTGCCTTTCAGGACCCCAGCTAGTGGAGAAGTCAGCACCACACTGGCTAGATGATGGACAGAGGGAAGGTGTCTAAGGCTTGAATGCTCCATCCTCATGCATTTTTGGTTCATGGCCTAGGGAGTGCTGGAAGACTGGTGTCGGAAAGTTAAGAGTCCAGCCTTTGGGCCCATGAACCTGGGCCCCATTCCTTGGGCTACCAATCTGGGCTCAGATTTCTTATCTGTATACGTGGCCAAGTGTACCTACCCTGTGGGATGGTAGTGAGGGTTGTATGAAAAATGGGTAAAATATCTGGCTCAGAGCTATAAAGCCAAAGAAAATGGTAGTGGCCATTACTGATAGAAGCAAAGTCCCAGAAGCACAGAGAAGAGAGCTGTGTGTTGTGGCAGATGAAAGGGTTTCAGAGAGGTGACATGTCTGTGATGCTGCTACCCAACATTCTAGAATTTTGGGCCTGAATAGCTGCTGCAAGTTACACGTTTAAGTAAAGGAAGGAGGTCTCCTTTCTGGAAAGAGGGGAATGGGGTCTGATGGGAAACAGAACTAAGAGACCTAGCATCTAGGTTCGACCTAGATTATTTTTTTTTCTTTTATATCCACTAGTTTGTTGTATTTTTCAGATTCCACATGTAAGTGATACCATACAGTATTTGTCTGACTTATTTCACTTAGCGTAATAACCTCCAAGTCCATCCACGTTGTTCCAAACAGCAAAATTTCCTTTCAATAGCTGAGTAATATTCCATTTTGTATGTGCGTGTGTGTGTGTGTGTGTGTGTGTGTGTGTGTATCTTCTTCATTCACCAGGGTTTTTTTAAAATTTATGTATTTATTTCACAATATCATATTTTAAAAATTGAAGTATAGTTGATGTACAATATTTTATGTTACAGGTATACAATATAGTAATTCACAATTTTTAAAGGTTACACTCTATTTATAGTTATTATAAAATATTGGCTATATTCTTCATGTTGTAAGTACATCCTTGTAGCTTATTTTATACCTGATACTTTGTACTTCTTAATCCTCCACCTTCATTTTGCCCCTCCCTTCCCTCTCCCCACTGGTAACCACTAGTACCTTCTCTACATCCGTGAGTCTGTTTCTTCTCTGTTACATTCACTAGTTTGCTGTAGTTTTTTAGATTCCTTGTGTGATATCTTCCAGTATTTGTCTTTCTCTGTCTGACTTACTTTACTTACTAGCTGGCTTCTTATTAGCTATGGAACCTGAGCATGACAGCAGGCTTTTTGGGTCTCATGTTCCCCATGTGGAAGCGCTGAGTATGAGGACTCCATAGAAATACACAGAAACTTGCTCAGGACTCCCAGAGGCGAAGACTGGGTAGGATCTTGTTGGGGAGAGATTCTGCTCACCTGTGGAGTCACGTTTATCTTTCATATCTCCAAAAAGGGGTCCCTCAGTCAGAGTCAGGAGTCGTTCTGGTTCTGCTGCTGATTGGTTGCGATATTCAAGTCATTCACTCTTTCCGGGTCTAACTTTTTCCAGCTGCAAAATAAAAGAACTAAATTAGCTGACTTCTGAGGTCAGCTCAGCCTTAATCTATGGCCTCCCCCCCCTTTCCCCTGCCTCACATATAATACTTGGGATAAATATTTATTGATCCTACGGGCTAAGTCTTAAGCAGAAATACCAAAAAAAAAAAAAAAAACCCAAGAGCGTCTGTATAATGAGTGCTGTGATTTCTCATATTCTTTGAGAAATATTTTCTTAGACCCTGGTATGTTCTAGGAATAATGGGACAAATGAAAAAAATAAAACAACGGCTCTCCCCTATCAAACAAAGCAGAATAAGGTACTGAAAGGTATACAACCTTGGCTTGGGGGAATCCGGTCTTTCACTTTCCGCTTCCGCCTTCCTAGGCAGCCAATGAGTACCTAGCAGTTCGCTAAAAACTACAAACCCCAGAAGTCAACGCGCAGGGCAAAGTGCCCATGCGCCAATCCAGACGGGCGGGCCCCGCTCCTAGAAGAGGAACTTCATTTCCCAGGCGGCTTCGGCGCTCGTCGATATTCCTCTGCTCGCCCTGGCGTTTTCCTCCCGCCTCCTGCCAGCGAGCCTCGCGCCAAGTCGGGGGACGCGTGCGCGTGCGCATGGGGGACGTAGCACGCGAGTGACGCATAATATGTGGGCCGCTCTGGAGCCGTGGTCGCGCTGTGTGTGAGTGAGGGACAGAGTGCGGGACCTGAGGCGGTGTGTGTGAACTGTGGCCGCTGGCGGGGTCAGGGGGGGAGCGGCGGAGCCGCCCGGAAAGGTGAGTTGGAAAGGGAGGGAGACGGCTCTCTGGGAGGGGCGCGAGGAGAGTGGGGCGCGTGGCCGGGCCGGCGGGAGAGTGGGCGCCGGGCTGGGGGAGGGGCGGCACCTGCCTGGGCCGCCGGCGGGGAGGGGGCGGGCCGGGCCTGCCGAGGAGGCTTGGTCCAGGTCTGACAGCACTTTTCCTCTTCTAGATTTTTGGCCCAGGGGCGGGGCCTCCACGTTTTTCCTCTAGTCTGCAAAAGAAGCTTCCCGAGAGTAACTCTTCCGCCCGGAGTGGGGGGCAAGGGTGTGCCCGCCCCTCCCTGGAGGAGGGGCGCTTCTCATTCCCCTCATCACCTTTTTCCTTCCAATCCTACCAGTCTTCTTCCGTACGGGCTGGGGGGCTCCATCTTCCCTTCCGTACCGCGGCCCCCTTCCTTTCTCGTATTGTGTCTCCGCCTCCAGCACTAGTCACCTGGGCGGGCTCTCCCCTCCCTCAGCCTCGTGCCACCACCTCCTGCACCCGCCCGGCTCTTGGACGGGGCAAGGGGGCGGAGCTTTCCGGGCTCTCCTCCCACCCTCATGGTGGAGGGGAGGAGTGGGAGAGATGTGCGAGTCCTACAGTTTGGAGCCAAACCTAGGAATGCCCACCAAGCTTCCCAGGAGCCTATTTCTGGTGTTATAGTCGTTTTTAACTGAGTGTCAGGCATTTGCTTAACTCACTATTCTCTTCTTAGACGGTTTGCGTCTCACTTCCTCTTATTGCAGTGTTAGCGCTTGGGTTTCGCTTGTGTTGAAGTAGTTCTGAAGTGTTTGTAGGAGTTCTTTTTGAGTCCCAGATGACTCGTCCTTGTCCGTGTCACGTTGGCCTCAGTTTTTACTTACTCCTATCTTTTCAGTGAAGCCTTTTAATTAGTTTACGCGCTTTAATTATTAGCATCTTCCTGTTCTAAACGCTTAATTAATGTACGAAGTAAGAGGTTCGTTGATAGTGTTATCCTTTAATTTTCTTGTCCCACTTTACTGGAGTTTATTTTTGAGATTTATATAAGCTTGTATATTTAGACTCTGGGAGTCGGTTTGGTATTTCTCTGCTTGATGCTGTTAAGATTTGGGTTTTGAATGTAACATTACCCATTTTCGAGTGGTGATATATTTTTCGTTGTTAAGAAGATAATAGATACAGAATTTGGAGACTATAAAGGAAATCCTTTTATGCTCAAAGTCTCTCGAGTAACTACTCGAGCTCAGTGTCTTACTATTCTACCTGTTGTACAGTAGTTAAACTTAATAGAGGAGCAATCTGGTAGAATGAGCCACATGTTTGAAGTGTTTGAAGTCGGTTTGTTACCAGTGTTCTGACGTTTTTGTCATGGTCATGGACAGTAATAGGTTATTGTTATATGTAATCTCAAATGTTATACTATTACTGGGTAAATTTTACTTGAAGCTCCAAGCTTGGGTCTCCCCCACCCCCCCGTTTTCTTTTTCTTTTCTCCAAATAAACAGGAATGCTTACAGACTTTGTTTCAGGATTGTAGCCTTACAGGACCTATCCTTAAAGTGAACTTTTTTTTAGGCATTGGGATACTTTCTGACCAATAGGCCATTCAGTATTGTGTATTAGAAGAGCACTGATTTTATGGTTTAATTCAAAAGTTACAAAAGATATCAAAATGGTAGAAAAGTGGTAGAGCGAGGGTAATAACATGTGGTTAAGAAAAATCTTTCTCCTACCTTTATCCCTGAGAAAGTCAGTTACCTGCCACAAAGGTGATAAATATATCCACTTCTTATGTATTCTTCCAGAGACACACACATGCTTTGCTTTTCTCACTTGACAACATATTCAGAGTTGGTCCACATTAGGAAAGGAAATGCTTTGTAGTTTTTTCCCTACTTTTTAATTAGGAAAAAAATTCAAGCATACTAAAGTTGAAAGAATAGTAAAATGAATACTTGTTTATCCATCCAGATTCAACAATTGTTAATATTTTGCCGTATTTTCTCTTAATAGGTAGATGTGTATATTTGTTTTGTGGAACTATTTGGAAATAAGTTGCAGACATAGCACTCCTAAATAGTTTGGCAAGCATCCTTTAGGATAAGGATTTTCTACATATTTTTTTGTAGGGCTTTATGTTCTTACATTGTATGGGCAGTCTTATCTTTTAACCCTCACAACAGCCATTTCCATTTTACAGATAAGGAAATAGAGATTTGGAGAAGTTAAATAACTTGACCAAGATCTCACAGGTATGTTGGCAGAGTTGGGATTTGAATGCTTGAAACCCTTTTCTACCAAGTACCAATTGATTAGTCTTGGAAACCTTCCTGAGCCCCTTTTCTCATCTGTTAGAAAAGGACAGGGTGGTTATGAAAATTCAGAGTAATGTAAGTAAATTACTTAACTAAGTGTATATCTCATACTAATATTCACTGATGGGTAACTATTGTATCACTTTTAGACAGGCCATAAATTCTGTATACGTCTTAAAGAACTCACTTTGAAACATGGTGAATTGAATAATGCCCCTTCACCATGGTGTCCATAACAAGATGACTACACCTTTTGCATTTTGTTAATAGTCTTTCATTAATAGTAGAATGAATTATCATTGATGTTACTATTTTAGTCTATTATAAATTTATATTTTCCCTGGGCAAGTGATTAGTCCCAAAGTTATAATTATTCTTAGGCATAATTAATTTTGAAAATGCTACCAAAAGTACATATGTGTTCCTAAATTGGACTCTAAAATGTTATTTTAATGCTCTTAAGTTGACCTTTACTAGAGGTTGTTTTTCCTTTAAATTTTGCCTTATGTGCTCTACTGGGCTGATTGCTTAAGTTATCCAGGAGGCATTCCCTCCTGGACCTTTTTTCCCCCATTTATGAAAAAATTTGGTAAAATATATATATCATAAATTAACCATTAACTGTTTTAAAGTGCACAATTCATTTGCACTTAGTAGATTAACAGTGTTGTGCAACCATTACCTCTTTTAGTTCCCAGACATTTTCATCACCCCGAAAGGAAACCCCATATCCATTAAGTAGTCATTCCCTATTTCCCCCTCCCCCATGCCCCTGGTAACCACTAGGCAGCTTTAGTGTATATTTACCCATTGTGGATGTTTCATATAAATAGAATCACACGATGTGTGACCTTTTATGTCTGACTTTTTTCACTTAACATTGTTTTAAAGGTTCATCCACAGCTATAACACATATCATTACTTCATTTCTTTTTATGGCTGAATAACATTGCATTGTATGAATATAACCATATTTTGTTTATCCATTCATCTGTTGGTGAACATTTGGGGTTGTTTCCACCATTTGGCTATTGTGAATATGTTGCTTTGAACATTTGTGTACAAGTATTTGTTTCAATATTTGTTTTCAGTTCTTTTGGGTATATACCTTGGAGTGGAATTGCTGGGTCATATGGTAATTCTATGTTTAACTTTTTTTTTTTTTAAACTGTTTGAGGAGCTACCGAACTGTTTTCTATAACTGCTATGTCAGTTTTCATTCCCATCAGCAGTATACATTCCAGTTTCTCCACATCCTTGCCAGTGCTCGTTATTTTCTGATTTTTTGGTTATGGTCATCCTAGTAGGTATGATTGGTATCTCATTGTAGTTTTGGTTTTCATTTCCCTAATGGCTAATGATGTTGAACATCTTTTCATGTACTTGTTGGCCCTTTGTATATCTTCTTTGGAGAAATGTCTATTCAAGTCCTTTGTCCATTTTTGAATCAGGGTTTTCTGTTGAGTTGTAGGAGTTCTTTATTTATTATAATGATACTAGATCTTTATCAGGTAGGTGATTTGCAAATATTTTCTCCCATTCTGTGGGTTGTCGTTTCACTTTCTTGATAATGTACTTTGATGCACAAAGTTTTAAATGTTGAAATTAATTTATTCATTTGTGGCTTATGCTATTGATATCAGATGAAAATTCCTTGCCAATTTCAAAGTCATGAAGATTTGCCCCTATATTTCCCTCTTAAGAATTTTGTAGTTTAAGTTCTTACATTGAAGTCTTTGATCCATTTTGAATTAATTTTTGTATGTGATGTGAGGCAAGGATCCAACTTAATTCTTTTGTATGTGGATATCCAGTTGTTTCAGCACAATTTATTGAAACATAATGGTTTCTCAAAAAATTCTTTCCCTGTTGACTGGTCTTGGTCTGGCCTACTTGTTGAATATCAGTTGACCATAAATGTAAGATTTTATTTCTGAACTCTCCATTCTTTTGTATTTGTATATATGTCTTTTTTTATGCCAGTACTACACTATTTGTTTTTTTTTTTTTGATTTGATTTTTATTTTTTGACTGAAGTATAGTAGATTTACAATATCGTGTTAGTTTCAGGTATACAGCAAAATGATTTAGTTATATTTGTGAATTTTTTTCAGATTATTTTCCATTATAGGTTGTTATAAGATTGAATATAGTTTCCTGTGCCATACAGTAAATTCATATTGTGTCTATCTTACATGTAGTGTTTTGTATCTGTTAATCCCATACTCCTAATTTAGTCCTCCTCCATCTCCCTTTCCACATTGGTAACCATAAGTTTGTTTCCTATGTCTGTGAGTCTGCTTCTATTTTGTATATATAGAGTCAAGTTATATATATATTTTCAGATTCCACAAA